ACACACACACACACACACACACACACAAGCAACCAACCCCAAATGAGCGCAGGACCTTTCACGAGTTTCAATTCGCCAAAAGTGGCCTCAATAAAGCCACAAGGTACAATTTGATGCTAATGACAAAACAATCCAAATCAATTAAAAAAACGAAAACACAACAGAGATCATGGTGTGTGTGTGTGTGTGTGTTTGCAGACCTGGAAGTGTGACAGCGTTTGTGGGGCGTCAGAGGCAGACGGGTTCAAACCCTAATGAGCAAAACCGCAGTGTCAGTCTCATCATCTCCCATCCTGACTTCAACTCGAGCACCTTTGACAACGATGTGGCGCTGGTGAAGCTTTCCTCGCCCGTGACCTTCAACAACTTCATCGGGTCCATCTGCCTGGCCGCCAGCGGAAGCACCTTCTTCGACGGAACCCAGAGCTGGTTCACCGGATGGTGGGACGTCACCTCGGGAGGTCATTCTGAACTACGAATTGTAGTTTTGTTTTGTTTTTTTAGGTTTACTCAATCAAGTTAGCGTCCTTTCTTCACTACTTCAAAAATAAATTGAACTATTGGAATACCGACTTATTCACTAAATCTGTTTCGATTTCGCAGATCCAAATTTTAAAATGTAGCGTCTTTTAATTGTATCACACCCCACATTTGGAAATGCGTATGGAATCGTCTCATCTGAAAAATCCACACTCGGTGTAAATCTATTTGATGTTGCTGATGATTTGAATTTCATTAAGTCCAATAGTTTGGGCTATGGAGAGCCTTTACGCATGAATAAATGTGACAAAATAGTGATTGGAACTTTGTTAGGGACTTCCTCTGCCTCCTTTTCTTGCTCTGAATTACTCGGCATGTTTTCCAAAACAACTCAGTCCTGCCAGGTATGTTGTGGCACAATGTGGAACCACACAAAAGCTGCGCGACTCGAAATTCTGACTTGTGTACTAGGCTGTAAAATCCCATAGATAAAAACAATAGATAAAAACAAGTGCTTCAAAATCCTTTCTATGCCGGGAGAGGAGCTAGTTTGTTCATACCATACTGTTGGTGTTGTTGTGCACAGTTTCTCCACCGCCTCCCGGGGACCTGACAGAGGTGGAGGCTCCCGTTGTAGGAAACCGCCAGTGCGATTGCGACCGCACGCAGATCACGATCACAGACAACATGATTTGTGCTGGCCTGATGGCTGGAGGAGAGGACGCCTGTCAGGTGACTTCGTGTTTTTCATTCTGTTCATGACACACAAAAGGAAGACGAGTAAAGTACAGCAGCGGTCCCCAACCTTTTTTCTCCCACGGACCAGTTTAATGTCAGACAATATTTTCAGCGACCAGCCTTTAAGGTGCGGCGGGTATATACAACAAAATAATATTTGACCTGCATGAAAAATGTGCGATTTTCTAAAAACAATAATGAACAAGAATCATCACACGAAGAACGTTGTTGTCTTTTGCCCAATGTGATCAAAAATAGAATACTGTAATTGAATGTTGAATGCAAACCTCATCATTTTATGATCTCCTACTATGATCTTCCAGGAAGTTCATGGCTTCACGAGGTGGCGTCATGCCACAAATTGAAAAACCACACCTAAAAACCTTTGGGGTATTCAAGTACTGTATCTGGCAGCGCAAACAACTTTTTGTCATGGTTTCAGTCCAGGTCAGCGGGAGTCAATCATTTTTCTGCCACTCAGAAGTGTCCTTGCGCAATTTTTTTAGTGGGCATTAAGAGGTGGCTGGTATATACAACAAAATAATATATGACCTGCATGAAAAATGTGCTATTTTCGAAAAACAATAATGAACAAGACTCATGACACGAAGAACGTTGTTGTCTTTTGCCCAACGTGATCAAAAATAGAATCATTGAATGTTGAATGCAAACCTCGTCATTTTATGAAGTTCCGCTTCACGAGGTGGCGTCATGACATAGCGTGCTGTTTGGTTCGGGTGAATGGAAATTGAAAAAACAAACCTAAATACCTTTGGGGTATTCAAATACTGTATCTGGCAGCACAAACAAGATTTTGTCATGGTTTCAGTCCAGGTCAGCGGGAGTCAATCATTTTTCTGCCACTCAGAAGTGTCCTTCCGCTATTTTTTTTGAAACATGACAAAATGGTGACTCTTCACATCAAATTTCTCCCGCCATTTGTGCCTGTCACTGATGTCTCAACAAGATCCGGTGGATCCACTAACTAGGTGACCATGATGTTCCACAGGGTGATAGTGGCGGTCCCTTGGTGAGCAAACAAGGGTCCACGTGGGTCCTGAGTGGGTTGCTGAGTTTCGGATTTGACTGCACCAATCCGGAGATTCCAGGCGTCTTCACGCGGGTGTCGCGTTACCAGGCTTGGTTCCG